TGTCTCTGATGATGAATCCGCGACGGATGTCGAAACGTCAGGCGACTAAACGCATTGTCCCAGCGATCGAGTTTTCTTCTAAATTGCTTTCTGGGACGCGCATGTTCGCTTATATTGGGTGAGTCTGGTGTTGGACATTCGGAACAAACCATCGCAGATAGTCAATGAACCAGAAGTCTGCGTTTAGGTTTGCGACTATGTTTGGGAACGTGATGGCTCGATGTTCAAGAAAAACGAAAACTTTCCCAGGGCAAAGGCGAAAAACATGATGCCAAAAACGTGAATTCCTAGCTCAATTATAAATACGTATTGCAGCTTCTCTATACCAGTTGCCAAGAGCCTAAATACGCATGCCTATCTGCTCACATTAACTATTAAGAATGCTTCTTATTTAGAATGTTTTGTTTTTGTATCTCAGTGATTTTGCAAATGCCAGCATTTATAATTATCTCGTTTTCTATTTAAAAATTTTAACTCAAAGTGGGCAACACCGAGTTAAGGGAAGCTCGGAGTTAAATCGTCAGAATTAAAAAAGACAATCTAAAAACGGGATTGACAGTCGTGGCCGTAGAAACATTAATTCGCTGTTGCTAGAGCAGACCACGAAGATGGTGGTGGGGGGAGCGGGTGCTAACAAGGATGAGACTGAAAGTTGTCTGCGCCTTTCATATCCTTCCAATTTTTAATGTCAGTCTGCTAGGCTTGTGGATCCTTTTCGATATTCGATTCTGGGATATTAAAAGAAGCTGTTCGATTACTGAAGGCCTGGCAGCTTCCAGCCTCGTGTTTAAGTAGACTATTTACTTAAGGAACACTCGTCTGGTGTAGTCAAGTCATTAAAATTAGTCGAATTAAGCATAATGAGAAGACACATCCTAAGACCAGACTATGGCAATAACCATTTATAAACTTTTATTTGGCTTAGTAACGCTAGGTGCTCTAAGCATGCTTAACTTTCTCTTCCTTATATGAAAATTTAACTTTCCTTGCCCTAGCGGACGTTTTTAAATGGGCGACAGCACTTGCAAATTTATGTAAAAACTAGTGGTTGAACAGTGGATTAGGAGTCATATGGCGATGGCTCATTCTTTTCCGCGGGTTTTGGTAGCCTTGGTAGATGTGTCAGATAGTGCTGTGGCGCTTTAAGGCGGGTTCGATAACCCTGTCAGCAGTTGCGCCACCACACAGTAAACAACGAACCGGCTCGGATGGCAGCCTGATTAAATTCCCACCCGCTTACATGTCTGTACAAGAGTGTTACTCAATCGGTTCATAAAAAACTGTTAAAAATGATACACAAACAAACAGCCATCGGTGACACACATCTTCTGGTGGTTATGTTACTGTTAATCAAGAAAGACAAATGTGTGTGTTACTTTCACCTTCACACCCTAAGACCTCTGAAGGCCAACACAGGGCAATGAAAAACGTTTGATTTCGTGGGTGTAAGAGCACACCAGAGGAGTGATCACGCAATGCCCTAAGTGCCAGAAACAATGAGGCCAGGATTCGCGTGCGAATTGGTTAACCATGAAGCAGTTGCACGCGGTATCTAAGGCACATCCTTTTTATTGCCAAATTAACTGCGTTTTAATGGCATAAAGAACCGAAAAGACCAACGGGGACAAACAGCATGTGTACGAAATCGTACAACTTTCATGACGAAATTTTACTTGGTAGCTAAGCAGAAATTTGGTCAATTTATTTTGATTTACTGAGGGGATTTAACCTGGGAAAGCCTTTTAGTTAAGAAGATCGGCGTTTCAGTTAGGTTTATTAAGGGTAATGGGCACTACTTTTGGTAAAATCGGAAGTGATCTCATATCGAAGAAATTTTCTATACCATTACATATGATCGAACCAAACTTTTTAAATTATAAATCGTGCTACGGAAGAACTGAAAGATAGATAAGGGAAGTTTAAAGCATCCCTTTCAGAACCGAAAAATGTACTCCAAACTTGCTGACATGCACTGGAAGCCAATTGTAAGAAGTCGTATTTATTTCCAAAAACAAGAAACATTTTTAGTTTCGAAATTAAGTTTTTGCTAAACTATGAAAGTTTTGGTCACAAAATGCAGCAAACATTTTTTCAACGCATTCTGTTTAACAGCATCACGTTTTGGAAGGACGTAAGCAAAGCTGGTCATATAGTATCGCGGAATTTTAGGTAAAACCCAATCTTGTTAAATTCCAATCATGCAGAAATAAATCTTTTTGTATGTTATAATTTTCGCTTATGCGGAAACGGAACAGACAGAAAAATAATTAAGTCAAATTATTGCTATATGTATGGCCACGCTTTTCTGCATTCGCAAGCTTTAAACAGAACCTAGAAGTAATCCACTATAGAGGAAAATAATCCAAAGTAAGGAAAATAGTGAGTTCTTTCATTTCCATTCAAACTGAATCTTTTATCTTCAGGTAAATTAACAGAATTATCCCTAATCTCCATTTTCATTTTGACATTACTTTGGACGAAGGTAATATACACAGAAATTTGGCAGCTGAATATCTAATTGAAATGCTTTTTAAAGGGGTAACCTGTTATAGAAGGTGTTTAAAATAATCTTTGGAATAAAAATATCTGACTTTTGTTGCGGACGTTTTTTTGCTTGACACTGTATTTTAGTGTTTGGAGGCATGTATAAGTATGGCCCACATGGCCATTTTCATACGAAGTAATATCCAAAAACTCCTGTTTCGGTAAATTATCTTCATCGATATCTTATTTTAAAGGTTTTGATATAAAAGTCGAAGGGAATGTGGATTTAGGAACGAAAGGTTGAAGACACTGAAGTTATAACCCTCAACGCTTAGTGAGAGGTTCCAATCGCATCAACTTTAAACTAGTGACTAATTATCTGATTTGGCATGAAGATGGATTGCACAGAGTCAGCCTGACAATTCCCCCTCCTATGTACCAGTCAGAGTTTGTCAATCAGTCAGTCAGCTGGTGACGGGATTTGACGCAATGACTGACGTGTCGCAATGGACTTCCTCTAAGGTGTGCCACCAGCACACTCAAACAGAACAATATTTAACGCAACGAGAACTCAATGAAGCCCGCTTAGCGTGTGCCATGAGCCAATCCAACCTCCGTTTCAGTCAGCACAAATGTAGCGCAGCCTCCAGTAAACTTTAAACGCAGGACCATTGAGCCCATCGTCTGTCTACAGCAGGGGTGCGAGGGGTGTTAGTTTGTAGTGATAGTGGACTTGCACCGCATTTAGCACACCCTGTCTTTTTCACGGATCGAGCGCAGGTGGCTGCCGTGGCGCGCGCATGCGCCTGGGTGTGCCAACACACATGTGACAGTTGTTAAGAATGCGCATCCAAAGTAACCCCTCTCGTGTCCTGATCTGCCCTCCGTGTTGGCTCAACGTGGTTCACCTTAGGGGCATAAAGAAGGATGCCAGCAACACTCGCTATCTTCAGTCGGTCACCCATGGGAATGCTATCCAAGCTTGAAGTAGTTTTACTTTGGCGATCGGAAGAGAGCTAGTGCTTATAGGCGTGGAACACACACGACAGTTCGACCTCCAAGTTTATAAATTCTTACCATGTGCCCCGAAACGGGGTGGGCACAAAGTTGGTGACTTTTACGTTAAGGGTGATAGTGGACATGCGCGGCATCCTCTGTACTCCCTATTTGCTGACTAGCCTGTGTACAGTGTCAAGGTAGATTCATGAAGACCGAACATTGGTCGGGCGCAGGTGGCAGGCGTAGTTGGAGCCGACCCACATGACACAGATTCCACGGAGTGGGAGCGCCATTAAGATCAGAGTTGGTTGGTGCGGCGTGCACCGGCCTCTACGCGTGCCACCGTCGCGTTCGATATTTCTTATCGGCGCACAATCCCTATAACGC